ACATTCATTTTCGCAGCTAACACTTTCTGGAGGGACAATTTATAGCAGGAAATCCATGAATACAGGAACAGTTTACAGGACAGCTTAAATTTTTAGTGTCTGGGACAATTGGTAATTCGACTACAGCTTGAGATGTTTTCAAAGCATTAAATCGATGTTTTTCTCAACGTCGACAAGACTTATCACGACCAACAGCAGTATTTACCTATGGCGATTTAAATCTTTCAATTCCAGTTTAAATTTGAAATATTCTTCAAGGTAATAGATCGAATTATTCATGAGATTCTGCAGCTCGAGGTTTTGTCTACTAATTTTTGTTATTTTTCACACGTTAAGCAGCTGAATAATCGTTTGTTATTTTTCCATCACGTTTACGCTCATTTCCCGATTGGAAACTTGTAATTGTACGAGCTTGTGATGCATTTTCTGACGTTGAAACGTAGAGGCGTGTTCGCGCTTTAACCGGAACACATGAGCACCAAAATGAGTTCGAGGAATAATACCTTCGTACGACTGAGTGGGAACCAAACGTCTTCCATGCATCATCAGCAGAAAGCAATTGGATCACCACAAGTAGTAATTAAGCGGGCAATAATCCCCACCACGTGCGGGACACATTATGTGGGTCAATATCAGGGAATGGACGTCGTTCTTAGGGGCGCTGCATAATTGCGATTCTGCTATAGCCACCATAATTCGCCTCCTTCCTGACGGATAATGGTCAGCAGGTGATGGCTCGAAAAAAGTGTCATATTTCAAACAAACGGCAATAAAAGTAAACGGATGAGGTGCTCAAGTCCGCTGGACTCGTAAATGGGAACACATCAGCACTCGCGATTCAGGACTTTATTCGAGTCTTGTCCCTTTTTATGGATGTACTGAAAAGCCAAACGCAACGCAATTCGGCACTCAGTTTTCCCAGCGTGGCTTTCCACTACGACACATTTGGTTTCACATTACCGCAGCACCGTGACCAAGCAGATTAACGCTGTGGAAACCAGTGCTTTTAAAACGAGAGTCAGGAAAATATCGCGAATGAGTCCAGAGTCGTGGGGAGAAAATAGATGCGAGAAAACAGTAATTAAGGTGAGGTGCGGTAAGTGGGGCCCCGAGATGCGGACGTGATTGTGTCCCTATGCTGGCACGTCCGCATGTTGAAGAACGTTTACCCTCGGAGGTCAATGTGAATGTTTTTTCAATGGTTCTCTTGTAAATCAAAAATTGAAAAAAACTCCCTTAGAAATTGAATGACAAACAAATTTTCTCAACTTTAAGATACGCACAATACTGTACACATAATCTGATCTTTCGACATGGAAAGGAACCCAAGAAGTAAAATAAATAAATAAAAGTCTCATTCTTTCGCATATGATGGAAATAACTCCGAAAAAGAAGCCCAAAGTTCGCCTATTTTAAATGATGAATTGTAGGGGTGAATTTACTATTTTTAATATTCGGGAGGATAAAAGGCTCATTTTCTTGAAGCGAAATCAAAATTGTGAAAAATAATGTTGTCCATTTATCTAAAAATCTTTAAAAAAAATTTCGTATCTGGAGACATTGTCCGGATGTTGGGACCGTTTTTTCGAGCTTCAAGTCTCCCTGAGTCGAATCTTCAATATGTCGAGGTCGCATTGCATCAGGGTTTTTTTTTACCTCATGCATAATTTTCCCCGACTCAAACTGATGAAGCGAAGATAGGAAACAGCAGAATGGAATTGAGATTTTACTGCAGTAATCTCTTGGTGAAAGAACAACATGAATTGTCCTGGCATTAATTACGAGTACTTCTCCTTTATTTATCAGCAGTTGGAGGTGGATCAATAATCTAATGATTTTTCATCGAAGAACTGAGACAGAAAATTTGCTTCCTAGCCAGAAGTATATTATTTTCTTTGCCATATTCCATAAAAATTATGATGAATAAAGCAATTCCCACATTCTTGAACATCAGTTTGAGCAGATGAAATCTTTTTATTTGCAAGGCTGTTCGCGAATTGTTCAAAGACTATGAGAAAGAGGACGACCTTGATTCGAAAAAAAAAACCTTGGCGAAACTTCCTACCTATGCATTTGTACTGGTGATGCCGATTCGATTAGAATTATAAAACCGGAAAAAATCAAGGAAAAACGGAGCTCCAATTTCGTTTTCTTGAGATGACTCGATCAATCTCGAAGACAGCAACGGTTAGGTTCTGTCTCTCCAGTACTTTCTTCGGTTCGCCCCGTAGGACGGACTTTGATTTATGTTTGGGTCCTGGGTGTAATCTATGTTTGAAAGCCAGTCCGAGCCATTGAAAACCCTCACTAGCACCTTCGGAACGCAGTCTAAAAAAAAAAAAAAAAAAGACCAGCTCTCCTTAATGTTCCGCTCTCTGTGAAGATGTCCTTTAGATCGCATCTATAAGCAACACATGTCCTCTTGATTTTTTTCCCATTGATTCTGCAAAATGCATCAGCAGGAATCATTCGGGCTTTCAGTCACGCGATCATCGCGAGTTTCATGACTAGAGGCCCCGGAAAACCGCTGGCTTGTCAATGAATCGCCGAAAAGCATTCACGTGTCAGTACTTGCGCCACAAGTACTTGAGCAATAAGATAATGGCCAAGTCCGGAAGCGGAATCAGCAGTTCTCCGTGGGGAGGATGATATCGAATGACACCTGCTATGCGTCTGAATGACTTCCAACGACATTTTTTCCCCCTTCAGTACTCGAAGAGGCCGTTAAGAAAAATTGCAGACATTTAGAATTAAGAACTCGCACGGTCTGCACATCGAAGATGTCTTGAAGCTTACATATCGGTTTTTCAGCTTCGCAGATCACGCGAGAGCCTGAGATATTACCCAAAGAATTCATCGCCCCGTTAGCCTCATTTTTCCTTCCTTCCCTTCAAATGATCCAAGGACTGGAAAACGTGCTGAAATATTCGCGGAGCGGGTGACACTTTCATACAAGAATAATAATTATAATATTAAAACTTTCAAAACCCGTCGAATAGCACTACGATGATTTCGGAGTATTTCCCTTGTTTTTACATTTTCTCGTTTTCGGAGAACGCTTTCAAAAATTAGAAGTTGCTTGAAAGATTCCATGAATGAATCGCGGTTGAAAATCGTTCAATAAAATCAGTGAATTCTGAGAAATTCTCGAAAGAATTCTGCCGATTCATGACGGTTTAAAAAAATGTAAATCAAATAAATTGAACTAAAAATTTGGCGAATACATTCTTAATAAATAAATCCAATTACTGCCTCATTATTGCGCTCGATCTTTTGTCAAGTTATCGTGCTGTTCTTAAATTTTTTAATTCCAGGGCATTAGTTTCAGTAAATATATTAACCAAGAATCATTCCTTAAATATTTATACTTTCGGAAGCATGTGAGGATAGCTGAATACTTTCCAAAACGGCGCGTTTCAAAAAAGCGTACAGAGAAAAGCAGCAGAAGATCGGAAGTTGTCAGATCAACCATTAGGGGTAACAAACGCGAAATTTCTGGGGGTCATACAATGTTGAAACATTTCACCATACGCCTGCTTCATTGGGTCTTAATTGTGGCAAAAAAGCAGACGAATTTTAAAAGCTTGCCATTAAACTTTCGAGCAGAACTTTTGAGTCTACAAAAATTTCACACAACTTTGCCGGTCCGCAGAAATTTTTTGGGAAATTTGCCGGTCCGCGAAAAATGTACCCTGTCCGCGGGCCCAAAAAAGTTGGGGAACACTGATCTAGAACAGCGTTCCCCAAGCTTTTTCGGCCTGTGGACGACCGGTAAATTCCCATATAATTATTTGCGGTCAGGGAAATATTTCAAAAATTGTCTGCGGACTGCCAAAGTTTTGTGCATTTTTGCAGACTTGAAACCTTGTAACACTTCATGACTGATACAGTATTTGAAAAGCTTTGTCTGCTTTTTAAATATGCTAAGAACCAATTAAGCAGCTATATGTAGTGGAATGTCTCTAAACAATTAAAAAATGGACTTGAAGAAAGGCTTCTCAGAATAAAAACTATAAATAATTTATTTTAGCTGGTGAAAATTTGTTGGAAGAATTATACAGAGAAAAGCGAACTTTCATTATGCATCAGATAATTTCAACTGACATCGTCTTTCCGGAATTTCAGCTAACGATGAACTTCCTCCCTATTTTTAATAAATTCATCATGCTGAAGAAAATATTTGCGGACCGGCAAGAAACTTCTGCGGACCGGCGCCGGTCCGCGGACCACGGGATGTGGAACACTGATCTAGAGTATTCTTCATCCGGGTTTTCCAAGAGTTTTTTATTTTAAATATTTTCTGGGGGAAGAGTGAATTTTATAAATTGCATAAATATGGCATTCGCCCAGATGGAAATAAGCATATACAGTACAGTATATTAAAAAAATAAGAAATGTTTATCGGGCGTTTCCATTCTTGAAGTCCGAGATACGCCATGGGGGTGGGCAAGTACCAGGTAATTTGTCCCGATCGTTCGCACTCAACTTGCGAGACACGCCGCGGGAGTGTTCCAACTGGCAAGGCTTCAAGAATTTCCGCGCCAGGAACATTTTTCCGCACGGGTTCCGTATTTTTCCCCTGTCACGTCTCGAGGGCCCCTCGACACTTGGCCCCTTTTTACAAATCGCACCAGGGCGTTCTCCGCCAAGAGAGGCGCCAGCAGCTTATTTCCCCCCCTTCTTTTCATACTCCCCCCCCCCCCCTCTTTTTCGACCACCTCTGCTCTCATTCGCATTCCATCCACACGCAAATCGTCCGGAAAGGACGGAAGGTATAGAAAAGAGAGAGAAAAGAGAAAAATTGCTTCAGAGGTTTACTCTTGCCTTGTTCCGAACCGAAACTTCGGCGTGAACAATTAGCCACGCTTGAGAGACAGGCAGGAAAACCGAGTCTTTTCCGAGATCATTTTGTAGATTGAATTAGAGAAAAACACGGCGGTGGTCGCAGCTGACACCATTACTTTCCGAAGGAACCATTAGGCTTTTAGTTTTCCAGAATGTCAGGCCGGGGCCGCGTATTCCGGTGAGCACACTTCTTTCCCTCTTCCTATTTGAAATATGCTCGGAGAATCCCAATGCGGAACATTTATTATTCGAAACAAAGCGAAAACGCAGCTTGGAAACAATTCAGCCTTCGTCACGGACAAGTCGAGCGAAATCTCCTGGTTCTCTGAAATTTTCATTACGAATTAAGCCGTCATCCAAATTTTAAAAAAATCCATGCAAGAGAAAAAGAATTGACCTTGGCCTCAAAAGCAAAGAAAAAAAAAATATTCGAAACAGCTCTGCTGAACTTCCGCAACTGTTTCAAGTACTACATGTTCAATCCCCCCCCCTTTTTTCGCTGAACTAACTGGACAGGAAATTTCAACCTGCTCGGATTTTATCTTACGGTACTTTCCGTAAGCGACTAAAGAATGAGGTTGTTGTACCAGTAATCACGGTAAGAAGTGCTCAGGCTTTCTGAGTTATCTCTTTTGGAAGGCTCGTTAGATGGAAAAATGCAAACACACAAATGGTTGTGTTCACAAGAATTTTTTCGAATGATGCACCAGAAAAAAGGTACGCCAGTAATGGTTTTGCAGTTGAAATTAATAGATGACCTATTCTTAACACTCGAGCTTTTGGGCTCGAAAAATCTTTTTGAAGTGTCGCTGGATATTCATTCAAAATGCAACTATGCAAAAATGTGGTGGATATTTTGGGAACAACCTTTTTCTACTAACTAATAATGCATTGATTGAAGCACCCTACATGGCCTTCTTATTGCGGCCTTGTGAGTGTTAGATCGTCATGATTCAATATTTTTACACCAAACAATCGTGGGAGTGTACCTTTATATATTTTAATTTCTTAAGTACAGTACTATGTAGATTTTTGGCAATAATTACGTATAGAAGTGTACGTTGTTTCAACAAAGTAAAAAGAGGGATTTTGTGCTGGTTTCTGTTTCTTTCTCCAGAGATTTCACACAAAATAATTCTCGACTCTCAACAAAGGACAAGTTTCACGTCCCGAGAGTCTGAAGACGAGTGTTCGATCAATCAATGATACCGGTATTTCACAAGACCCAGAGAAAATTTCTAAAAAAAGATGGATTTGTTGTTTGATCACCAGTGGATTCAAATGCTCTTGTTTCTTCAAAACAAACTTAATATTTCATGAACCAAGAATGGCGCTGTAGGGACCCTTTTTTTAATGTTGTCGATTGAATGAAGCGAAATATGTCATTCAAATGTAGGTCGATCATTAGCATTCTTGGATGACCTGCATTTTTCAAAGGTACTCGATCAGCATTAGCCCAGAAAATGGGTATTTCGTTACAAAAATCATACCAAGCCTTTATTTACTTATTCATTCCAGATTGATCATCCTTAAAATCTGTTCAGTTGCTAGTTTCGCTTGACTTCATGAATAAAGGAGTTTACTAAACATTTAACAGCTCCCCCGCTTCATGCCAAAATAATTTACTCATTACTTTGTTCAACATTATAATTTAAAAAAAAAGTTTTATTTTCAAGCATGTGCAACTAGGGTGCGCCTTCTGCGAGAATGAATTGGCGAATTTAATGCCAAAAAATTAAGATGTCCTTCATATTTGAGGACGTGTGGTACTCTAGTAAATACGGCACCAGCAGTGGTACCACGCAATTCGACCCTAATCCGTCACCGGGTTAGGGTCGAATCGCGAGACTATTTCAAATTCGATGTTTTCTACGTCAAATTTGACATTTTGTGTCTCTCTGCATGGAGTGATTGTGGGGCAAAGGTCAAATTGCGAGTCGATGTCCCAGCAAATTCTACCGTCGAATTGCAAGGTACCGCCTGTATATATGGAATAAGTCGTCGGATATAAGGGTGGCTGGAATAACGTCGTCAGGCCTAACCTCGTCGTCAGGAATAACCTCGTCTATATTTATTACCCGAGATGTTGGGACTTGAGGAATTTTTGCTGTACGAGGTTGGTCCAGTTGTGAAGTGCGGGAAGAATTTTTTTTTTACGAGTTTGTTCCAGAATAGGCTTGACGACAGTAAGCCGGTGTTGGAATTACGACGTTATTCCACCACCCCGAATTGAATTGAGAAGAGGTCACTCACCACTGCCCAAAATTTTGATTTCCGTGGAGCTGGCGGGACCCGGGCTGGACAGGTCGAGCCGCAGCTCGGTGTTGGCGTCGGCGTCCGCCGCCCAAAGCGTGTAGCAGTGGTGCTGCGGGTCGGCGCACTGGACCCAAAGCCCGCCACGCGAGTCCACACGCACGACCTCGCCGCCACCCGGCGCCGGCGACGACCGGTCCTGCACCACTGACTCCGGCGCCAGGTAACACAGCTGATGGTCGCTGCTGGTGGTGGTGGTGCTGCTGCTGCCGCCGGCGTCCGGCAAAGGCGCCTCTCGTCGCCGTCGTCGCCGCCTATGTTGCCGCCGGTCCTCCGGCGTCTGACGAGTGTTCGTACTGGTGTTTGCTTCGGCCATTGGGCGCGTACGGACGAAAAGGAATTATTCAGCAATAATGCCGTCGTTGTCGCCAAGAGGAGCGAGCGTGCCAATGTTCCCCTTGCTCGTCCTCCATCGCGCGTGCACTTGCACACTTGCACCGGCGTTTTAGCCGCACTGTTCTGCCAATTCCAACATTCGCACTAACTCTCACTGACCTGAGAAGCGAAGGAAAAAAAAGGTGAGTTTCAGATGCTAGGCTTTCGAGTTCTTAGGATTCGCAAAAAAAAAAATGCAGCGCCGTAATGCGAAGTTTTGTGCACAAAGAACACGAAACTGAGAATTTCTCTCTGGACTGGAGGTTCTCAGTTTGTGAACAAGAGGCTCCTCGGATTCCTTGAGAAATTTGCGGCTGTCCTAGAGGAATAAAACAAAAAATAAACAGGAAAGTTGAATTCAATTCGAAATACTGCCCTAGTTCATATGGGGCCTTTGAGTAAAAACCAGGCCCTTTTAACGTCCTTTCCTAACGGTCAAAGGTAACAGGAGATCATACGCACAATTATTTTCATTTTTGAAGCCTAAAAAAGGGATTAGAAGTACTGTGTATATCGTACATTCTTGCAGTCGAGAGTACCTTCATTACGCCTAATAACAGCGTCATAAATACCTATTTGTAAATCGTATATTAAGGGCCTTTTCTTTAATGGCTTCATGTCAAAGTAATTGGTTTGGTACCTATCAGAAGATATTTGGGTTCATTAGTTTCTTGACCGAATGACTCATCGGTATCATACTGATCCAAGATGGCCGGTTGAAATGTCGAAATACTCTTCGATGAAAATCATAAAGAAGCATTCGCACCGCTTGAAAGCATAATAAGGGATACCTGCGAAAAATTTCAATTTCACTTCAGTATAATTTTGATGACTTGAAGAAAATCCAGCGGTAAGGATTGAAGCGGAACTGCGACTTCCAGATGCAACGGCAACAGAAAATGAGCTGGTCAAGTATGCGTCCTTCCTGAAAAAAAAAACAGAAATCATGATTAACCGATTCTAAAAAATTTAAATAAATTCCATTAACTCATTTGAAAAAAAGGCAGCGTGCGAAGTCTATCTTTTGGGCAAACTCGATTAATGCATCAAGATGACGCATGGCTAAATTTTTGGCAATCAACCTCTTCAAGAGCGAACGTTCTCATTTTCATCAAACCTTTGATGCATCTTAGCCTTAGGCATGCATTTTGTGTTTTGAGATACAGTATAAGTGGAATAATGTAGATCATTAAATTCAACTTCATCATTACTGCACGTCCCTCATCGTCGATAATTTGACTTGCTCTGATTTTTTGCGCATTTTCGAAAAGTCAGATTACCATTGAACCCTGATTATCCAAGGGGAAGACCAGATTATTTTGTGAAGTACAATACTGTACATATACTGTACGTGTATGATTAAAATTTCACTTGAGCTAGACTGGCACCCTTAATTTCACTTCAATTTATTCTTCAATTATTTTTTTGTCATACAAGTTTTCAATGGTATATGAACATCAGTCATTTCTGATCATCTCTGCAGAGGCACCCCCATCATCAGCCCGGATAATCGTAGCTGTACACAAAAGTCTCCCCAACTCAAAGCTTGTACTGTACTGACAATTCATCTTCTCGCTTTCGAAAAAAAATTCTATCCTGTACGTCTGAAAGCATAAAATGCGCATGATGATTCATCCTCAAAAGTCAGGGCATTATAGTCTCTATCTCTTTAATGAAAAGATCCACATGACTGATGAACCCAAAGCCCGGATTTCAAACCGCCGACGCAACACTTCGCCTCCACGACTTCCTTCGACTCGCCAGCCACAGAGCCGTAAGGTCAAACCGCGTCTACTCTCCTTCCGGTGGAGCCCATTGCAGCTGGAGTGGAAAAAGGAATAACGACAGAAAAGCAGAAACCAAGAAAATAAAAGTACGAGACGCAGGGATAAAAAAAAATGAAAGCGAGAGAACAGAAGAGCAAATGCAGGCGGAAGAAAGAATACCCGGGAGGCGGGACGAGGGAAGCCGGCGGAAGCGAGACGCGACACGCTGGGCAGAAAACGGGGACGCGGCGTCTGGAGAGCATCGTTCTGTGGCTGTGCTGATATATAAGAGAAAATAAATAAATAAATAAAAGAAGTAGAGGATAGAGAATAATAAAGAGATAGATGAAGGAGAGGGGGGGGGGGGAGTAGAAGGATGCAAACAAAGCAGTCCACGGTTTTCTGCTGGTGCTTGCTTGCTTGCTTTGCTGCTGCTGCTGCTGCTCATATTGGAAGCGCGAACAAAATCCCGGCGACTTCCACCGACCGACCAAAGCTTAATGACGCCCCTTTCTCCGCAGACGATACGGTGTTTCCCCCTTTTCGCATTCGTGTTATTTCTTTCGCTACGCATATTTTTCCTCGACGACGATAACTGACATCCTTTTTTTTTATTCTTCTTCTCCTTTTTATTCGTTGTACACATTTCCTGTTGTCTGTATCCGCTTTCCATATGAACGTATTGTTCAGCCGGCTCGATGCCTTTCAACTTTTCGCGAGTGCTTGCAATGCATCCGGGTTTTCCAAGCATGAATCATGACAAATCCTGGACATCAGGAGCAAAAATTTCCTCCTGATGTCCGGGATTGGTCCTTACCTAGCTTCCTGCTGTTTCTATCGCAATAATTTCGTGATACCAGGGTTGGTTGACCTTTTGAAATAGATCCTATGGAGTTTCAACAATTAAAAAAATATTTTACTCGCGTTGCCGTATCATTTGCCAACGCTTCAGTGCTGTATTGTACTCTCTACCGATTCCAATGAATTTTTGATCTGATAAATTCCAACAATCAAAACAGAGCTAAAAATTGAGATCTGTGGCTGATATTATAGGCACTCTGTGACTTCTGGCTGTTCCCAACATCGTTTTGATGGTTGGATTTATCGCATGAAAAAATGAATTCAAATCGGTGGGGAGTGTCTGAAACAGCATTACAGTGTTGCCAAATGATGGTGCTATGCGAGTAATTTTGCTGTTGAAATTGTTGAAAGCCGGTTGGATCTACAGTATTTCAAAAAGTCTCAAAACTTATGAACTAACCCTCGTATTATGCAAATCCAGAAGTCTATTTTAACACATATTTAAATAAAAGATCAAGAAAATAATATTTGGACCTTCAACCTCGGATTCTAAATTATGTTTTTTTTAATCAGCCTCGAGATAAGTTTGTCCAGAATTTCAAACAAATGGGACAGAGAAATCGTGTTGTGAATATTTAAAAAGTAATAAAGTACAGTGCTGAAATTGCTGAAGAGGCGCTGTATGCTGTAGTCAAATGTATGGTCAGTGGATATCTCCATTATCTCACAGAAGAAGAAGAAAAGGATAAATTACAGCAATCACAATATCAGACACTCTATCAAAGATCATCTCGAGCTCATTTAAAACCTTCGAGTCCTGCTGATTACACAATATTTTCTCCGAGGAGAACAGATTAAAAATCAATACTAACTACAAACTAGTGTGTACTTGAATATTCGAGCTATACTGAGTGTGAGTTCTTCCTGGGATGATGGAATTAATCAAATTTCACGATAGATCACATCGAGTACAGCATTTTAACTTGATGGCTTCACCAGAAGCAACATTGGAGAATTACTTTATAATTTATCACAAGCATCTTTAGAGTTAATTAGCCTAGATAATTAGCCAAGATGATACGTCGATCTGTCTGGCTAAAATTTGAACGCTCGATCAAAATTTGGGCAGTTTTCATAAAATGAACGATTACTGTAATTAAAGCCCTGATAATCCAACGTCTACTTCCGCAATAGTGTATTGTAGTATAAAATCAGATGAAGTTTACTCACTACAGTTCGGATTTTGTCGCTTGAAAGTTTTCACAGTTGAACCTCAATAATTCGAAACCTCTTTAAGTTCAATTTTTTCAAGTCCCCGTCTGAAGTCCCTTAGAAATAATGCATTAAAAATCTCTCTAACTTGAAAGCTTCTCCTGAACTGATGAAACTCGAATTTTCCTTTTGGCTATTATTATTATTTTTTTTGAAAAAGCAAGAGAAAAACAATGAACAATTAAATTGATGGAAGTAAAGGACAAATCGGGAAAATGGACCCTTGCTTCAAAGGTCAGCATCCTGTCAACTCATTTAAGAAGCAATTTAAGTCCCAGAATATTACCTGCAATTCTCATATCTTTCCCTCAACAGAAAATGCTTGTTTCCCCAACTCAAATTTTTTGCTGGTCCCCCAAAATTCGAATCATAAAGCGTTTCGACTCCATTATATTTCTAAATCGAATTTCATTTCAAGCGACCTTTTGATTCCGATGAACATCTGCAATTGATTCTCTTCCCGAGCGACCTAAATGTAAAAGGGGATTCATCCTAAAGCTCTCCGTTAATTATCCACTCCAGTTAGTGCTATCTCAGACGGAACAGGTTAGCTGCTGATACCCGAGGAGCGAGCGGGAAAAATAAAGAACCCGCGTGCGCGCCTGGAAAGCCCAGAGGAGAAGAGTGATTTGATTTCCAGAGTTCTATGTATAGACAGGCGAGAATTTGCAGGAACTGGCTTCTCCGTACCCTGGATCCGACACGGTGGCTGTAGATATCGCCAGGGGTTTCCCGACGAACCCGGGTCTGGGGAAATGGGTTCCGCGGGAACCCGCATCCGGCCGGACAAAACTCGGTGAATGTCCCGGCGCGTGTCGCTGCTTCAACCGACACCCAAACAAATTCTCGCATGAATATGATTCTATTTTAACAAAATAAAACGGCTATCAGACACATTTCCAGAGGATTTCGGAAAATTATTTCCTGAAATGACGCCGCCTTTGGATTCAGACCTTGGAAAAATAAATCTACTTGAAAAAGAACTCAACTTTCGCGGCAAATGCAGAGCTCAATAGATTCGAAGTCGCATACTGATTTTTCAATTCATTGTTCTAACAGGGGTTTTTGACTAAACCCAGATGTAATGCCAAGAACTCACGTATGTCTAAAAAAAATTTAAAAAAAGTATTTGACAATTTCACAGTAAACTTGATGCATATATCGATCAGAAAATTCAAATAAATTTGAAATTTCATACGCTTTCTAGCCACACTAAGCTTGCATATAAAATCAGGATTATTTCGTGCCACTTGTGAAAACTATACAGAAGAACTCTAATAATC